ATGGTTTGGCATTTGCTTTTGGTTGCGCCTCGCTTGTCGCCTCCTTTATGGCAAGCTGGCCACGCGTGCGCTGCTATTGAAGCCGCTGCTTGCCAACCCCCACCAAGCAACCCTATTTGCTGACTATTACACACACACACACACACACGCACACTCATATACAATTGCATACACATGACTAATTTTCCAATTGGAAAATCATGTGCTTTACATATGAAAAAAGGCTGTTGCGCGTGTCGCTCGGCCAACCATGTTTAGATATAGACTCTGTGTGTATGTGTGTGTGTGTGTATATATGTGAATATATTCACGAAAAACGCAATTATATCGGTCGGTTGCATTTCGATACATTTGGTTGCCTTACGCCGCACACGACTGACCGCGCATGTTTTCGGCTGGTAGAGCAACGATCCAAGCCAAGCCTCAAATTATAGAAAATCAAAAGTGTGACCGACACACACACAAACACACACAAAATGTACTTGCGCGCCGGCGCTTTGGACATACGAATTACCCCAATAGCCAACCAGCTCGTCTCGAACTTCCTCTCCCTCCTACTCTTCCCTCTCGACAGTCCGTCGATTAATTTGCCAAAGTCAAAAGCCTTTTGATAGTCAGTAGCGTGCCGCAACGTTGGACCTCTAACATAACCATATCGTACCCGTTTAGACCGCTCCCCGTCACCGCTTCCTCCCCCGCTTCAGCTGACTGTGAAGCGTGTTTAAGTAATTTTGTTGCGCATTTGCATTTAGATGACGGAGGCCGCACTTGTTTATGGCCCACACGTTAGCAGAGAGATCAGCGTTTTTAGCCTAAGGTGGTTCCAACTAAATGCCAGCGATTATGTAGTAGTATTAGAAAGAAAGAGAGAGAGAGAGAGACAGAGGAGGATTTTATCAATAATTTTATTTATCATTGATAATAACTCAGAGCAAATGTGTTCGACTTCGTCCGAGTGCGTTTCAAATTCCCCTCCCTTTCTAGTAGCAACTCTTCTATTTATACTCTACTGCAGCTTCAGCTTCTGCTCGAAATCCAATCAGAACACGTCTTAGTTGGACTAAGCGCGTTTAAGAGAGCTTTCGTCATGCATTCATCTGTCTCTCTCTCGCTCTCTCTCTGCGCTGTGAACTAGCACTCTTATTACGACATATGTATTCCAATTGGACAATATAAGAAACTCATTCAACTGCCAAATCTCATAGTCTGCAGCTGAGTAAGGCAAAGTTTAACCTTGAAATAACTTTATATCATTTGCTACTGGCTACTGCAGTGCGCGCCAAGGTTTCATTGTGGAGCACAAATTATTGTATTTAAATATAATTTCGCATATAAAATTAAAGTTAATGAAACAGCGCGAGATGTGCTATTGACATGAAGCGCAAGAAGCAGATTTACCAACAGCTACCACATGGCCTGCCTGCATTCCCAGGCCCAAATGCAAACAAAAACTCACCATGGGCGCTGAGCACGCACAGCCAAGAGTTTGGCAAAGATGCGCTGCTGCTGCTGCTGCTGCTGCTGTTGCAGCTTCTGCTTTGGCCTAAACCCATAATTAGGAATTGGAGCTGAGACGATCCCTTAGTTGGGTTCGATGCGGTTCGCGTCAGGTTCGGTTCGGTGTCACGTGAAACGTTTATGGCCAACAAAAGCTTCTACTTTGTGGCCACAAAGGCGCACAGCTGCCGCTGGCTGCTCGGATCGGAGCCGCATTATAATTAATCAGGAATTGTATGCATAAAAATCAAAAATGTTGGCTTAAAGCGAACGCCCCGATGAGAAAGTCCAATGGAGGCTGCCAATCTTCTTGCGGGCAACAACAGCCTCCATCAGCTGCCAGCAGGCGCTATAATTTTTGGCATTACATGAAAATTCAGCTGAAAAAGATGAGCAGGAGGCGAGGCAGAAGTGGAAGAAGAAGAAGCGAAGCTGCATTTAATTAGATGCCGCGCGTCAACAAGGTGCTAAATGGACTGCCATTATACACACACTCACACACACACACACATACAGAGAGAGTATATGCAGCTCCACATACACCTCACACTTGGGCCGCGTGGGTCGAGCCCCAAAAAATGGAAAGGAAAGCTAACAGGAGGCGGCTGTTGTGGCAGCTGTCGCTGCTGCTGCTGCTGCTGCTGCTGTTGCTGCTGCCTTCAGTTGCAGCTTCGAAGCGGTTTCGGTACCTTGTCGCACGCCCGTGGGGCATGCGTTGCTCTCGTTGTTCGATGCTTGCCTCCTGCCTTGTTGCTCAATTTGCCGCTGATGTTGCTGCTGATGTTGCACCGCTGATTATGCAGAGGTGATAATTGCAGTGTCCGACGCGTCAAGATTTATTTTTGTGAGCTTTAACGATGTGTTAAAATAAATTGCATATGTGCAACACAGCGTTGTCCACTTCGGCCCTGCCAGCCACACCCCCTGCTGCAGTCTCTGCTCCTGGCCGCTGCCCCTGCCCCTGCTACTGCGCCGGCACTCATCTCGTTTGCCATCTCAAAACCCACAAAACGTCGCACTCTGTGTACATAAAAAGCAGAAACAACAGAAAATACTTTTAACGGGCGCCCGCTCCAACAAGCTCCAAGCTCTGCGTAATTGCGGTCTGCGCCTTATTAAAGTATCAAAGTGAGAAGGGAAACTCAATACATACATACATATATGTTTATATGTGTGCATTATTTACATGCATGCGCATACTTATAAATGCATATACATATGTATGTATATTCGTAGTAGATTTGTTTGTACATATATAACATATTTATATGCTTTCTATAATAAGACAAATTTATTGGCCAGTCAATTTCAGTTAACTAAGATTTAGTCCACTAACGGTCGGTCTACTACGCTCGTAATTCAATCGCCCAACATAGCTTAAACTCGGCTTGTCTGCTCTTCCAATGAATTTGTTGGCAGCAATCGTCTCATTTTTATTGTCATTTATTTATTTTTTTTTTCTGGGTAATCGGAGACGGGCGTATCGTATTTTTTTGGGCAAACTCTTCGCCCCACAAAACACGAGAGCAAAAAATAAAAGAAAAGAGAAGAGAGTAGAGAACGTCGCCTGTTGCATTTGTCTGCCTAATCAGCTGTGCATAATTAACAACAGCTACTGTGTACGCGACGACCAGCCGAGCAGTCGACCGACCAGTCGACCATTCGACCAGACGAGCAGCCGACCAGCCGAACCGTCGAGCAATCGGTTCTTCCGCTTGGCTAAAGCGTGTCTGAAACATATGGGTCTGTCTGCAGCTGTAAAAAGTACCTTATGCCTCTCTTAAATTTGTTCTTCTTGTCTTTTGTATATGTGTGTAGCACGTGCTCCAATGCACATGACACCGAATCACAGCAGCCACATGTTGCAGCTATAGAGAAAAAGAGGAGGCGGCAACAATGCCAGGAAGTGTCGAAACTGAAGCATGCTGCAAGATGGGGAGGCGGCTGTAAGAGAGGCAACAAGTGGCACAAAGTAGACGTAGTGTATTTGAATAATAGAAGCTAGAGAGCTGAAAGCATTATAAAAAGAGTTAAATTTCACTTACCTCTTCAAAGGAAGTGCAGCATCAATGGCAGCTAGAGAAAGGGAAATTGATCTCTTAATTTCTCTAATTGTAATTACTGAGTGTATATATATTTCCCTTATGCAAAAATCATTAAGTCATCTAAGTGAGCTCCAGTTTAATGTGTTAGACAAGGGACTTATATATATTTCCCTTGAACAAAGTCAGCTCTCAAGGGAAATGTATACTTTGTATGTCAAATAAAACAATTTAGTCCCGTTTGGTGATCAGTCAGCCAGTGAGCAGTCATGGCGCTTGTGTCCTCGCTGAGTCCTCGCGCTTTTCCTCGAAATTCATGGCTTCGATCCATCAAGTCGAGCTGCCACCAACGTTGCCTACGAACATCATGGGATGGATGGCAGCTGGCAGCCAACACGAGACTTGGGCCTGGCCTGTGTTAAGCATCCGCCCCGGATCTTTGTTCGGCAAATCTTAAAAGCTAACAATTCTTAGAATTTCTCTTAGCCTAGAAATTCTATCTAGTCAGCGAAGACGAGTTCATTGATTTCTTCATTTTTTATTTTTTAGGGCGGCTGTTTGATCTTTGGCCGGTCAATTGATCGATGGATCAGGCTGCTTATCGACAGCTGCTGCTGCTGCTACGTTCACAAAAGGTTTCAAATCGCTAAAAAGGTTTGAAAGCTTGCGCATGCGCCAAACATTTGGCTAATACGTTAATGGGCCAGTTGGCTGTGACTTTTGCTGGAATTGAATTAATAGCTCATTTTCAGATGAATGAGAATTAGAAAGAGGTTGACTTTAGGTTGGGTAGTAAAATAATAGTTAAGTTGACAAAAGCATCATTGGAGTAGAATGGCTAAAGATTTGTAGATTAGTAGAAAAGTTGCTAGCTGTAATATAGTAGTAGAAAAGTAGTTTAGTAGTTTTAATATTAATAGTAGTAGGCAAGAAGTAATATATAAAATTAGAAAAGTAGGATAGTAATATAAGATGAAGATAGATAGATATGAAGATAGGAGAACAGAATATTATAGCAGCAGGAGTATATTATGGAACAAGTGTTAAGTTAAACGGCCTTAGCCACGCCTTCCTACGCTTTTAAAAACAGCTTTAGTTCAGTTTATATTTTATATATTTTTCATACTTTTTGTAGCATACTTTCGGGCTGCAATTCAATTTCTAGATGCCAGAAGGCAGTGCAGCAAGCAGTGACAAGCAGTTAATGTAGCCGCGGCCCATAAACAATTTCGTTTTTAACAAATGCGCATAAATTTGAAATATTTAATAGACTTTGATAGATAAGCAACCCCTGTTACCCCTAAATTCCATTGCCTATTCAAAACTCAATTATAAACAATAAAACATTTTATTTCGCATGTTAAAATCTTATTGTAAAAAATGCATTATAAGCCTAAAATGTGGATTTGCACGATAAGCAGGAACAAGGCAGGGTCTATTTGGAAAGGATTTAACAGGTTGTGAGCGTTGAGTCTTGAGACTAAGTAGAAAAATTACATATTATAAATGTCAATATCAATTACATATTTGATGATATATCAGTGCTCATAGCTAGTCAGTCAGCTAGTATTTCTATAGCATGCGATCTATCCAATCTGTAAGATCACTTAATTGCTTTTCCTTGGCTGAGCTTTCGAAGAACTGTACATTTTGTGAAATGTGCGAAAACTCGAAATCGCGTCCCACTTTGCCCAGTGTAATGGGTTTGTTTACTTCATCGTCGCCTACGGACTGGAGTTTGCGACTCCTCGTGTCACGCACTGTGTTGCTATTGATATTAAACATTGAACATTAGATGAGGACAAGGAAGATGTTCGGTAACTTACAGTTCCTTCTCTAGCAAGCTCTTTATAACCTGTGAGCTCTTGGCAGTCGTCAGATCCTGCTTGTTGCACAGTATCAGCACTGAGCATGGCTGAGTGGCAGTGTCTGCCAGAATGGTGTACAAGGTACTGTAAGAGCAGTTGGTTAGGAGAATGTATATCATGATTATGAGATTTCCACTTACTCAGCCACGTCACGAATGTCCTTTTGGATGGTCACTGAGTCCACCACGAATATTATTCCCTTCGCATTGCGTTTGTACTGCTCAAAGCATTTGTCTCTCACGCGATAATGTCCAGGTATGTCCACAAGTCGTCCAGAAACATGTCCCGAGCGGTATTCACCGACATTCTCTTTCATGGATGTGAATGTGTCGGGAAACTTGTTATGCACAAGCTGCATGAATATGGCGCTTTTACCTGCCTCGGTCAGACCGGTTAGCAGAAAATCACGTCGGCCAGCCGAGCGTCGTCGGAAAATTACAAAAAGTGCTGAAATTTAAATTGATTTTTTAGCATGATCACCAACTGTTGTTGTTTATCGACGTGGCGTGCTCTCGCTCCTACCAACTGCAATGAATCCAACTATGAGTGCCGCTAATATAGGCGTCACGTCGATATTATCCAACTTAATTTCCTTTTTTTCGCGTGTATTTTCATTTAGTTTGTCCATTTTGTAGCTGTTTGGAAAAATTTACAATTTTCCACAGCTCAACTAAAACTCAAATAACTTTTAACTAGGGATGATAAACAAATCGATATACACTTACTCGATTTCTTATACCAGGGATGGAACGCAAATTACAAACAAAAACAAAAAATGGTTTGCTGAAAATTTATAATTTTGCATTATTTATACATTTTGCATTTGTAAAGAAAATTTATAAAATAGTACAGCCTTTGCTTTCCTTTCTCTGATTGTAAATTTCATCTTCAACTATCATCATCAATGTGTAACAATATTGATGGTGTTCGATAATTATTAATCGACTATAAGAAGCGCGTGCTTTTAAATTATATTTCCATATAATATTTACTCTTTTCTTATATGAAAAAACACAATTATTCTGTTGATGCGTTAGTTGTTAAAACGGTGATAAAGCTATGTAAACTACATCGAGCACTTTTTACAATTAAATCTTATTGCAATAAATTACAAAATTACAATTCAATTTGTGACACCTTAGTTTTTTACCAGATCGTACAACAGTCGAAATGTGAAATTGCATGAAAAGGCCCAGGTGGGCACAGAAATCGCGTTGTAAATGCCAGTGGGAAAGCTGAGCAGTCCGGTCAGCGGCTGCAGACTAAAACTATCGTCGAAGATCATCACAGCTGAGTATCGATGGCGGGCACACACAATGATGACGATCAGCGAGAAGACAACCTTCGTCACATAGTACGCCACTGTATCAATAGTTGACTGCTTAAGCTTCACCATTTGGTTGGCCATCAATATTTTGCTCTCAGCATCGGCGACTTTGCGCTCGGCACGCATGGTCTTGATTTTCCTTGCATATTCCCCGGAATGCTCTGCATTTTGTACTTGAATAAGCTCTTCGCGGGCTGCTTGCAGCTCTGCTTGATCCTCTGGCTTTACTTTGGGTCCTTTCCAAAACCGGGATATTTTAATCTGAGGAGAAAATGTGTTTTTGACTATGGCAGCTCTCTGGTGAATAAGATGTTCGACTTACGTAGTTGCGAACGAAGTCTGGAAGGATTGTGTTGATCAGGCACATCAGCGCTATTAGCACGAACAAGTCCATATTTGGGGTTAGTTAGTTTAATAAAACTAATCCAATAATTTGTTTTCCTTTGCTGATGGAAAAAAAAAAACTAAATGCAGCCAACAGCTGATGGCTGCGTGTGATTTTTGTACTCTTTGACGAATACGGGCAGCCCTGTCATTACCAGGGATGGCTACGAGTCCACAGCTGTTTGCCGGCATAACAAAAGCCTACCTTGTGGAATATTCGTGAACAATTTGTATCAGTGTGAAAACTGAAATGACTAAAGAACGCAATGGAAGATAGCAACGAAGAGGTAAGTGTAAGTGATTTGTAAAGCAAAAAAAAAATGAATATGCCTGCCTTACAGATTGAACCCTGCCGCAGCATTGGCCCGCATGAGCTGGAGGCTGTGAAAAGCCAAGCCATAATTAAACTTTCGCCCGTTCAAGTGCCTGCGCACTTTAAGCGCTTAGAATGCAACACAAATCTCAATCTACCGCCTCTCAACTGGCTGACCACCTCGCACAGCAGCCATGGACTGCATCAGGCGTTGTATCAGAGCGGCGGTTTTGCCAGCTTTCGTCTGGGGCAAATGTTTCCCGATTGTGTGGGCGAGGTGGACGTTGTCTCGGATGCCGAGAATATCAAACAGCTACTAAAACTGCCATACAGTGCAAAGAGCGCCATCAGCATGGTTGTGCATAAGGTTGGCAACACGTTGCTGCTGGATGAGTTCGATATACAGAAGTATTTGCTACGCAAGTCGGACGATGACTGGAAATGGTTGCGCAGCTTCATACTCGAGCACATTCTGGCCTACGGCGATGAGCAGCACAATTTCTGCCTTAAGGAACGATCCCGCGAGGCGCTGCAGACAAAGAATTTGCTCTCGAAGTTTCTGTACCACAGTTTGAAGCCAAGTAACGACACGGACTACGATGCCAATGAACCTCCATTACTGACCAGCAGGCGAGCAAGTCTGCCCATTATCGGACCTGTGCTGCCGGAACCAAAGATCGAAGAGAATGTGCCAGATCCCAAATCGAGCCATGCCTTCAATCGCAATGTTGTGTGGACTTTCGAGGATATTCGCATGCTAATTGGCACTGATATGCCCATCTTCGGTGGTCCGAATAGACCCTGTATTAGTCTACGACTACGTGATGCTGCACAGCCTATCAATGTCCTAACTGGCATTGACTACTGGCTGGACAATCTAATGTGCAATGTGCCAGAGGTAGTGATGTGCTACCATTTGGACGGCATTGTGCAGAAATACGAGATAATTAAGACTGAGGATCTGCCCTATCTGGAGAACTCACAGTTCTCACCACAGGTGGTGCGCAATGTGGCTCAAAATATTTTAGCATTTCTGAAAGCGAATGCGACCAAAGCGGGTCACACCTATTGGTTGTTCAAGGGTCGCAACGATGATGTGGTCAAGCTCTACGACTTGACCACCCTATATCAGAATCAAAACAAAGCAGCTGAGGAACCGGAGCATCCTCAGCAACAGCAGGAAAAGGAAATGAATCCGTTTACGGTGCCTGTCGGCATGTTGCTCTACTCTGTGGCGCGCAACATGAAGAACACGCTGGAGCACATAACTCCGAAGACAGCGGGCAATATACGCGCATTATTGGACAACTGCATTAAGCTGTTGCCGAAGGAGCAGTATCCACAGATTGTCAGCTCCTCCCATTATATACTCTCAGATTTGCATGTTCCCGCTGGCATAGACCCGAAGGCGCCCAAATTCAATGAATCGCCAGCGCTTTTTAACGATGACGACGAAGACGAAATTGAGGATGAAGATGAGGAGGAGGAGAACTACAATGACGATCCCTCACATAACTTTGGGCGCGACAAGTACTACCAGAGTGCTGCAGAAAGCGGTGGCAAAGCGAATGTAGCAGTGCGTCACATCTGCGATGCTTTGCGAGACTTTAAGTCGCATGCTAAGCAACCCAAGCCGGCGCCTCTGATCGCCAGCACTCTTGATCGCTGCAAAATATCGCTGCAGCACATCAGTGCGGGCCTCTCTTGCCTGCAGTACTTCAATGGCAACCAGGAGGAGAAGCTGAAGGAGTCGGAAATGCACGCCAAGGAGGAGGAGAAGCAGCGCATACTTCACGAAGAGCAGAATCCCAACATGGCGAAGCCCTGCAATGCTATACCACTGCCCTACGAGCAGCTAAAGATTGCTCAGCCGCAGGCCCAGGCGCAGGCACAGCAGTCCAAGAAACGTTCCACAAAGACAAAGACTAAACGCAGCAAATCCAAAGAGTTGACCAACAACAACAAAAACACTAAGCCGGCAACCGTGGCTACTCAGAAACTCAGTGCCAAGTTTAATACCCAAAACTTTGGCTCGTGGAATGTGCATCTAAAGCTGCTGCTGCTGGAGAAGGCGTGCCTGACATATGCCACTCTAGCGGAGTACTACTACGAGGCCCAGGCCTATGGCAGCACGCTGCGCGCCATCGAGCTGGCCTGCCGCTGCCAGCAGGTGCTCAACAAGTATATGGCCAACGTGGTGAGCCAGCAGAGCTGTCTGCTGGGACGCGCCGGGGATTGTTTCTTTCAAATCTCGAAGCACTGGAGCGCCATCGATGAGTATGTGCAGCAATATGAGCAGCTGGATGAGCACTCGAGCTTGATTAACGTTGAGTTGACACAGGAACTGGAGGATGTTGATCTGCTCACTTTAAAGCCCATTAAGAATGTGGAGCAGGTGATGCTGCACAGCTGCAAATGCTACGAAGATGCACTGGAGCACGCGCAGACCGATGAGAGCAACGAACTGCTGCGTCGCCTGGGCAATGTGCGCAACGAGCTGGGCCTCAAGTATATGTATTCCGCTCAAGGTAAGTTTTCTCTCTCTCTCTCTCTCTCTCTCTTTCGTATTACTCTTAACATTTCTCTTGCCTTGCAGAGGAGTACAGCCAGATGAAGCGCAAGAAGGAAGAAGCCGCCAATGGGTCTTCAGAGCAATCGAAAGCTGAACTAGATAATGCAACTGAAAAAGTAGCAGAGCCTCTTTATGTGAAGCTGACAATCAATTCATATGAATGCCTGCGCCGTGGCATCGCAGCCTTTACAGCGGTGAAGGATAACGTTAATCTTGCATTCCTCTACTGCAACATGGGCAGATTCATGCGGCTGCGTGCTCATCTGACTATGCCAAATGAGAGGTATGCTGAGTATTCATATTTTACTCCATTTGTAGGCATTAATCTTATATAATCAGCAGCAACATTGGCCTGGACATTCAGAAAACATTTTATAACGAAGCCTTTGACTACTATGAGAAGGCTAAGGATTGCCTGGATACCAGAAAAGCCAATCCCGAACTGTGGGATCTTGTGCACTGGGAGCTGTCGACAGCCACGTTTACGTTGGCCAAGCAGCTACAGGATTACAGCGTAGCCGATAAGAGCAGCCTGGTCGAGGCGTCCAAGGAGGTGCTGGACCTGCTGCAGAAATCTCTAAAGCTTTGCGATGTGGAACACGCAGGCGCACGCCAAGTGCTCTACAGCTTTCGCTCGGGCCTTATACACAAACGGTAACAGCATATCGCCTTGACTTATAAATAGATCTTATAACTGATAAAGAACATTCCATCTGCAGCATTGCGTCCTTCCACTATGCTCAGCTGCGCAGCTATGGCGTATCAGATGCATCTCAGCTGCCGAAAGCGACGCTGCAGCTATGCAAATACCACTATGAGAAGGCAACGCACATCTTGGAAAGCCTGAAGGAGGTGCGCGATCTGCTGGTGGTGCAACTGGAGCGCATATCGTTGCACGAGTTTCTATCGGAGGGTGGGTGTCAGGGGAACAACCTAGTAATTATATCTATATAACTTATGGTTTTCTTTTGCTATTGCAGTTTCCAGTCATGCAGCGCAGAAGGTGAAGCATATGCAAGCAGCTTTAGACATTTGTTTCCAGTGCCAGCTCATTTTCGGGCACGTCATCGATAGCAACAGCAGCGTGAACGTCGACGACGATGACGAATTCAAAGCACATTTGACGCTCTACGAGAGTCGATTGCAGAATGCATTGAAAACACTCATCAAACTGCTGTTAACCACCGGCAAGGATCCAAAACAGCTGTCGGCCTTGTACAAGCGCATGTATATGGAAACCTTGACTGGGAAACATGGCATAGGCGCACAGCAATCGACAGCAGAGTTTGTAGCGCGCTCACACCATTTGCACACGCTGCTTACCCGGCTGAAAGCCATGTGCGGCGCTCAGCTTGCTAGCAACTAGTCGACTAGCTAGCTGGCCAGTACGTGTCGTCTACGAGTTTATAAAAACAGTTCAAATTTTGTATATATGCATCGACATCGACCTGCCCTGTTTATTGATGTATTCGTCTCAATTACACTGCAGCTCAGCTAACCAAAGCTTAGCCCCGCCTCTGGCAGCGACAATCGCTCTCGAACTGCTTGGCATCGGCAACGCTTCCAATGTGCTTCTGATAGACGACCACGGCGAAGAGCAGGGCAAACTGCAAGATCTGTAAAAGGATCACACACACACACACACCACACATACACATTAACATCACCTCACACACAAATCTGAATCTACTCACCTTAAAGCACAGACTACGAAGCATTTTGGAGCTCTGTGTGTGTGTTTGTTGTGAACTAGTTTTCTGTACGGGCTGACGGGCGCGCGTCTCTTATAAAGTCGCGTGGCCGCCAGCCAGACGTGTCGCTCATCAAGATTAGGCTTAGCTCCACACTGTTGGGTGCGCCAATCTTGGTCAGCTTCTGTTAAATATGTTGTTGAACAAGCTGGGCCAGATCGAGAGCGCAAGCCAACAAAAATGGTGGATAATACTTAATGAAAATGTTGATTTCAATAATTGCTTTTACCTGCATACATACGTGTATGTATATGCGACAATATTGATACAATGCTCCACAAGCTTTACACAAGCTTATTAATTGCTATCCTAATGTTATTTCCAAATATGATATGCTGAAGTTTACGACGCGAAGTTAGTCGCAATTAAATTTGTACTTGTTTGAATGTTGAGTGAATAATAAAGAACTGAACTAATAGACTGTATGTGAGGAGTTACTAGTATAATATATATAATAATCATCATAATAATGAGTGTAGCT